GGTGCTTCTACTAAATACTGAGCAAAGGGTCTGAATACTTATGACCATGTGATATTTCAGTTTTTCTTTTTTAATAAATCTGCAAAAATGTCAAATTCTGTGTTTTTCTGTCAATATGGGGTGCTGTGTGTACATTGAGGGAAAAAAATGAACTTAAATGATTTTAGCATATGGCTGCAATATAACAAAGAGTGAAAAATTTAAGGGGGTCTGAATACTTTCCGTACCCACTGTACATATGTATGTATGTATGTATGCATCTTACATACCTGGGTATGGTCTGGATAGTGAAAACATGCAAACAAAACACTTTAATCCATTAGTCTAGTTTTAATGTTTATTTGACCTCTTATCTGAACTAATCAAGAGCCAATTATTTTAAAGTGGGTCCAGCTGTCATTCTACTAGTATTAAGTAAAATCTGGACAAATGCCGTCTCAGAGCTGATATTAGCTATAGTGTATTATAAAGTATTTTTGGCGGGAACGATTAAACACCCCATTTCATTTGGCAGCGGCTAATCTTTCACTAACTATTCAAACTCGTTCAAAGTTAAAACGGACTCAGAATTATTACGATACGTCTAATAGGGAAGTGCCGTAAATATTAGCGACTAGGGAGTAAATTTGGAGTAAAAGAGTTTTATCGGCTCAGCTGGTTAGTTTGTTGGCATTAGCGCGCTAGCAATAGCAATATCTTGCTAGTTGAGTTAACCCTTAGCAACAAGAGAGAAATGTCAGCCGGGAAGATGTGTATCAAGAGGAACAAGGAGGAAACTGCTGAGGTTTGACCACACAACATACTAGCTAAAGATGATACATTAAAGGGTTTATTTGCTCAGTTTGTTATATTTATGAATCAATGTTTAACTTGTTTTTTTTCTGTAAAACTGCGCCATCATGTGGCCATGAAGTCAAATGTTAGCTAAGATGGTTTCTCCTGGCAATCATCGTCTTTTTTCATTTTTAAGTGGATAGGGCTATTCCTGAACGACATAAAAACCCAGCAAGAATCCCTCGTCTTTGTCAAGAGGATGGTGGCTGTGGCAGTCTCCTCCATCACCTATCTCAGAGGGATTTTCCCGGAGGACGCCTACATATCCAGATATCTGGAGGGTGAACATAAATGGAAACAATAGCGATGTACATTTTGAGCGGTGTATTTCAAACAGGGAAAGTTACAAAAAATAGCGCTTTTCATGTGTTGGCCCTTTTACAGGATGTAATAGAACCTTTTTTCTCTCTCAGTGATTAGAGAAGACTGATTCTGAGCTCTTTATTCTGTGCAGTAGGCCTAAGTACAACTGTTTTGGAACCCCACATTACCTAATGAACGGGGAGAAACACTTGTATAACACATAGCAAATAGTCCCAGAAAACGTGCTGAAAAAGCACAACAAGCCATATGTAGAAGTAGTGATGGTGGTTTTCTATTTGTAAATGTACTTTTTTCAATTGTTGTTTGCCATTTTACCAGATTTGTGCATCAAGGTTTTGCGGGAAGACTGCACCACCCCCGGTGCCAGAAAAATTGTGAAATGGTAATTAGTGTTCCTGCTTCAGTGCTATCAGAATTTGTTTAAGCCTGCTGACCACAGCAGCTGCTCAACCCAGAACCAGACCAGAGCCACGTTAAGAAAAATTGAAACTCTGCAGTAATAATCAGCATTCGGTGGCTTAAGGTAATTCCATTGTTTTATGTATGTTTTTATCTTCTACAATCTTGTTTGTTTCAGGATAATGGGCTGCTTTGATGCATTAGAGAAGGAGTATGTAAGTTAATGCATCCATTAATTGTAATATTTTTATTCATTTTGATCAATGCGACCACTACTTTTACTGTTGTTCAATGCTGTCCTTTTCACAGCTCCAGCTCATGTTCATTGGGGTAGGTAATCAAGTCAGTACTGCACCATTTATAGTTGATGCATTTCTTACATTGATCAAAAATATTTGTAAAAGTTATTGTACATGTTATTACAATCTAGGTCTACACCAAGCCAGATGAGCCTAATGTAAGTTCTTTCTTAAAATATTGAACAAATGTGTTAAGTTTATGAACAGAAACACAGTTGGCAAAATCTGAGAAATCCTAATGCCATTAACAAAAAGGAGCAATTTAAATGTTCTCTCTTTTTGCAGTCCATTATTGAATCTTACCAGTTTAAATTCAGATACACTGAGAGGAGACCACAGATGGACATAGCCAGGTTTGGTTGAACATTCTATGGTAGCGCATGTCACATAGATAGGTATCCACAGATGACTTGATAGTAGTATAACCTTCATGAAACTGCAGGAACAACAATGTGGAGATGCAGGTGACACTGGAGGACACAAAGAAAGCATCTGTGCTGCTCATCAGGAAGCTCTTCCTGCTTATGCAAAACATGGCTGTCCTTCCCAGCACTGTCTGCCTCACTGTAAAGCTTTACTATTATGATGACAGTAAGACACACCACCATTAATATCTCAGAGAATCAGTTAAGAATCCAGTTTCAGTTTTTGGTTTGCATAGTGAGAACATCTTTTGTCGCTCTCCTTTCAAAGTCACCCCTGCTGACTACCAACCACCAGGCTTCAAGGAGGGTGAATGTGACAGCCTGCTGTTTGAAGGGACACCTGTGCACTTCAGGGTGGGTGAGGTGAATACAGCCTTTCACACCTTAAAGGTTTGCGTGTCGGCCGAAGAAGGCCGACTGGAGAAGCTCCAGGAAGGGAAACATCTGAGGGAGACCAAGCAAGTTTCTGAGAGAAACTCTCCACAGGGGGATGCAATCAAGGTGGGTCCAGAAAGAGGATAACTGATTTCAGTTTTATAGTAGTCTCACTGAGGTTTTCAGTTTGGTGCACATGGCTGTTTTATTATCATTACAAACACCTTGTTCCAGGATCCTCGTAAGAAAATATATGACGAAGATGACTTGCCTTCTGAAGATGGTAAGTCTACGTGCTTCTGCTTTTACAAAACTGTAACGTTAATCAAAGAGTTTACAACGCTGGTGTTCCTTTACAGAGTCCGCACAGTTCAAGAAACCTACAAGACCTTTGGCAAAGGTAAATTTCTACTAGATGCACATTTATATTAGTTTGCAGGTTACAAAAAATTTTTAATAAAAAAAAAATCACAACATATTAAAACTGGACAGCTGATTAACTTGTTTGTCAATCTTAGAGACGTGCAGCTGCCAAAAGCCTGGCAAGGAAGAAAAGAAGAATTTAGCCAACAAGACAAGTGCTCTGTCAGCATTACAGACACAAGCATGAATAAATTCTTCCCTTTATTGTACTATTTACAAACACTGTTAGTGTTATGTAACAATTTATGACACGTTAGGAAGGTTCCTTGAATAATTCACTCTACCCACAAATGCAAACTTTTGCTGTTAAACGATACTGTACAAAAAGTGAACATGAAGGGTATATTATAGACAAATAAAAGATTGAAAAGTGCTTCATTTTTACTACTGTTTGTGTATAAATATATTGGTTTACTTTTCAAGAAATAACACTTGATTATAAAAGATTTGTTGTACAAAAACTAATTTTTAATTCTGTACATAAGCGACAACATATTTGGCAAGACAAACTGCTGCAGTGCAACTCATGATTCATAAAATGCAAATCATCTCTGCTTAAGTAGTTAAAATCTATCAAAATTAAGGAAATACTAAAAAACTGTCTCCATTTGACAGACAACTTTGTTTCTATTTCTAATATATTTCCCAATCTAATGTTATGTTACCAACGTTCTCCTTAATCACCACAACTGTTTTCCTTAGGTTTCCTTTCCCTGTCTGATGTTGTCCTTTTATTCTTGAGGCCCAATTCATAAAATCTCGTTTCTCATTATTTTGAGCATTAATGTTAGATGATTTTTCCCTGAGTGATGGAGGTGGTGTTCCTGTTCATACCATCTGTTCCAGTCTCTGGTTTAGCTTTACAGCTCCATCTTCCTCTGGGTTCCCTAGAAGAGGTTGTCCACATTGCCCATCTCCACAAACAGTCTTCAGCTGGGAGTAGTATTCAAAGGTCACCTGGCCATTCTCCCGCCCTATACCTGGTGGATGTAAGAATCAGAAGTTTACTTCCACTTCTACTTACTGTGACTGCATAGCAGGGAAAGTAAGTTGTTAAATGAGGAAGTTTTACCGCAGAGGTCCCATTAGTTACTAATAGAGTTTTGCACTTTGCAAGGGAGCACAAAGTTTTAGGCATATTCCTTACAGTTTGACTCAGTCAGATGGTGACTTCCATTTCTTTTAATTCAAAACATCCCATACAGAGACCAAAACCAACAATGAATTTTGTGTGCTTGCCATAATGTGTGTGAAATGCATTGTTGGTTTGATGGACGTTAGTCTCTGTATGGGATGTTTTGGAATTAAAAAATAGAAAATCACCAACCTTTTCCTTTAATGAGTGCAATCTCTGTTCTGGTGATGTAAATCACACATAACACCCTACAATACCTCCACCAGACTAAAATAATTGTAATACAAGTAATTTGGCTGTGACGTTTGGCCTGGAAGATGGGCAGACTGCACCTGACATTCTGAAGCCTCCATGGGCACCTCAACAGGTGATATTGTAGTTGTCGATGAAACAGGACCCAGCCTTGAGGTGTTCAACCACATGATGGGCTCGCATCACATCCCTACAAACACAAAACCGAAGGTAAAAAGCCCTTCATTTAGTTGTGGTCATTTTAAGAATGCTGAAGTAATAACATTTGAGAATACTAACAGGTTTGATACTGCGCTGCCATGTGCACATGCCTTCACTCACCTATCGACTATGATACTGAACTTTTTTACTTTAGCTACTTCAAATACATTCTGTTGCTTTCAACCTAAATCTAGATTCTTCACAAACACCTTCTCAGAGCTTAAAAATCACCTTAATGGGCTGGTGAGGTTCATTCATCTCACCTCTCCATCTGACATGTACCTTGTGAAAGCTCCAGCACCCGTGGCGGTGTCAGTGGCTCTCTGCAGCACTTCCTCTTCTCTTTCAAAAGACAACACAGACATGACAGGACCAACGATCTCCTCCTTCACACAGGTCATCTCATCACTGCAACCTGAATAGCAGGAGAAAAGTCAATACTGCTGGAACCTCAGCTATGTGTCTGAAGTCTTCAGATAGTGGTGAATCCCCTTTGACAACTAGTGTTAGAATCAGAAGAGGAGTAAAAAAGTGGCTATGATTTGCAGGCAATATCTAAATTGGGAACATTTGCTCTTGCTACATCAAAAAATTGTGAATAACTGTGTAAAGACACAGGCTGTATTGTATATAGTTATCTGATAGTTACTCTTCTGCCACAGTGTGTATATATATTTATAAATAGATGTGTTTTTGTATCTCTTTTTCTTTATCCAAACTCACATATTTTCTTGTTGCCTTGCAAACCACATTGAGAACTGCTGTACCAGAGTGAAATTCCATTCTTGGCCATTAAATCTGATTCTGATTCTCATGACCACTGGGCAACAACTATGGAAAATCATCATGCTGCTATAGTGCCATCTACAGGTGAAATGGCTTTAAAATATTTTCAGTATTGCTCTGGCATATTAGCTGGAAATGCACAATATGAACAGGACTTATAGCAGTTCATATCAAATAAGTCAAACCTAGATGAATTTGACAATTATATGAAATGGTAAAACATGCAAAGGGAAAAAAATTCAGTCTTATCTAATACTATATGTACACACTTTTTGAAAGATCCCAGATATCCAAACCCAAAATATTTAAGTTTGTCCTTGGCCCACAATGTAACTTCTTAACTAATGTTGAGTTCTTCTGTTAAATAAATAAGCAAACATAGCTGGTCAAAAGCACAACTATCCTGATAGAGGAAATAACTGAGGCATATATAGAAGGTCATGATTTATGTCTTGACAGCTTTAGAAGAATTTCATACCGCAGGCCAATGCTGGAGCGGATTTCCAGGCAGCTATCTGGAAAGGATCATTTCAAGCACCAAAGTCGACTCCCAAAGGCTCCATGTGTAGAAAAGAGGATTCTCCTGGCAATTGGACATGCTGGCCTTGAAAAGGGACGACAGAAGCATAAACATGGTAAAATAAACGTTAAAAATGTGACATTTTTTTTAAAAAACGTTCATGATGGATGTCATAAAAATTTTGCATATTTTTTTCTAAAACATGATGGCAACAACAGATTGATTTAAAATATTCATCTTAAAGACTGGTAGTCTGAATGATAAAGACCATCAAATCAGGTTGTCACTCATAGCTCATGATGGGCTAATGCACCATCATATGAGTGGCTTTCCAACCTTGTAATTAAATAGTGTGATCAGTTATTTTATTTGCCCCCTGACTACAGACTCCTAGAATGGAGTGAAACATTATGAGTCAGAGTTGTGCCAACCTGCCGGAGTCCTGGCCAGCCCGGCTAGTATATGCACAATCTGGCAGAGTGCACGTTCAGACAAGCCTCCGTGATGGACTTCCCATCGTTAACCACCTCCATCTGAGCTATCTCCTCTCTCCTGCTCTGTGCATGAAAACGAGGACAAATAAACTGTGTCACTGTCTAGAAACGACTCTGGGTGTACAAAACATTAAGGACACTCTTCTTGTGAATTATAATGAATTTAGGTAGGATGTTTTATCCCTTGAACAAACATACAGAATAAATTAATAAGCTGGGCAGCTTCTCTCATTGCCTTTGCCCTCTCCATCCCAGTGGCCGAAGGCTGATTTGGCAGCCTGCACAGCCTGATTGACATCCATGGCACCACACGGCTCTAAACGGCACAAGACTCACCCTGTAAAGTGAAATGTGTAATACACAGTGTTTATTTGGCAAGACTTTCTCACATTGCATATTAGAAATGTAAGTCTCCTGCCTGTGGGCAACAGGCTGTGGGACTGAATTTAGAGAAGCACGTAGCTCTAGCACACAGGCTGTATGCTAGCACAGGTGAAGTTAAGATGCCTAAATTAAATTCACAAAGAGCCCCAATGAATGAATGAGACATAAAATCTACAGTGTACATGACAGCTGACAAGTTATAATGGCTTAATAACCGAAGTTGCTCCATGGCTATAAAACCTGTTGCAGAGGAAAGTGGCCAGGTGTGTCTCTAGGACACACTATGGCAAATGAATAAGCATGCTGCTGAAAAAACAGCATTTGTGCTGAATATATAAATGTAAAAATGTGTATTATGCAGAAAGACAACTAAAAAATGCTTTGGTAATCAATCAAGATGAGGCCTTTCCAGAGATCACCCGGCAGCCATCTTCTTGCGGCAGAGACCAAAGTTAGGAGACATCATATAGTATTGATTTTTAAGTAACAGATAATTATATGGCTTACCTGTGGCAGGTTTGTAAACATTTTCCTGTTGCATTTCTCTTTGCTCGTCCTTCTCTTCCCAGCCCACACGTTTAGCGGGACCGTGATGTTCACTGACCCCGTGGAGACGCATCGTACCAAAGCGGGGAGGGGAGGAGCACCGGGCCACAGCGGACCTCTGGAGCATACTGAGGATGATGTAAGTGTAGTCAATAACTGTAAACCATACACTCTGCAACACTATCACTTCATTAAAGAATAGCATTAGAGGCGTTTCTCAAAAGTGCACAAAAATGTTATACGCTAGCTACTTTTCCTCAACTTGTCATATATTTGTGATGTTTCACTATAGCATTTAGCCTTGGTTCTACACTTACCAACAGGAGTGTTCGCATTAAATGCACTTTTGAAGACTGTGAATCTACGCTAAATGTATATGTTAGCATTACTTTAGGTGAGCTTTACATTGTTATTCTGCTGGAGCTCAAGCAGAAGGCGGGACTCATGCAACCGTTTTAGCGTAACAGATGATTGGATAGTTTCGCCGTCAATCACAAATAGAACGCAAGATAATATTTACTAACTAATAGCTTAATTGGAAACAAACTTTCTGCATTACAATTAACTTATATTAGGAAATACATGTAAATAACTTTGTGTAAATAAAACTGCGAGTACATAAACATGAACGTGTTGTTGTGGGAGGAGCTCCACCACGATGATCTTCCAGTACGCCAGCTCACACAGCACATTGCAAGAATGGCCGGGGACAGTGAGGCAAATCTGAGGGATAGTGAGGAGAACACCGATGTTATTCGACAACCTTTTCTCATCGGTGTCTCCGGAGGCACCGCCAGTGGCAAGGTTGGCACCCTCGATAGCTAATTTGACAGTATTTACGAATTGTCATATTTAGATTTTGAGCTAAATCACGGCCGAGGTTGGCAGCCGGGCGCTAGTTGACCGCGTGGCTTTAGCGAGGTGACGTTGAGTTGTGATTGACAGCTGTATCCTCTGTTTAACTATCCACTTCTCAGCTGGCTTACTTAAAATGTTTCTCCACCGCATGTTGTATTAAACTTTGTATCTGTTTAAACGTATTTACCCCATTTAGTCTGGGATGCAGTCGGTAGCAAGGTAAAATCCATTTAGGGTGGCTATGTGGTGATATCTGATGATGGCTTGCCCAGCCGCCTAGCTAAATTCCATCACACGCTAGCAGTGCCGGGTGCGCTAACATGAGACAATAGCTAGCGCTAGTTTCTCTCTAGGGTGGCTAATCTGTTTTTAAACAGTATAAGCCGCGTTTCCGCCCCGCCTAGGTTATCTTAATGCTAAGTGCTATGTTCAGTTAATAAGAGAAACACCCGCCATGTAGCATTTAATGAATGATAACAGACACAGGCGCCAGCGGGAAAATCGAAGCATAAAGACTCTTAAACCACGTTCGCGCCCACGTCCCTTTGTTCCGTGGGGATTACCGTTATAAGGTGAAATAAACCTGGTCGGATTGGCTGGGTTGATCTGTGTAATGTAAGGTCGGGCACGATTATTGATGTTGTTAAATATTATTGCTTTAACAACCGTCTAGTTAAATTTATTTCCTCGTTTTGCCGTAGTTTGCGCGGCTGTGTGGGCAGTGTTTAACAGCACGCTGGCACTGATTCTCGGTTTCAGCGCGGTGATAGACGCTATTATTTGCGAAGATGTTTTGTCTTAGTTATAAGTGGTGCCAAAACCCCTCTTTGTGTAAGTCTGTAACACGAGTTGAACAGAAAATCTTTCTGGGGTGGCTTTTAAAACTAGAGCGTCGATTATTTCCACTTTTAATGGCCGTTTTCCTGATTCACATGCGGTGTGTGCAGCTACATCAGGGTCCACGTTACTGTACTGACACCAGGACAGACCAGTTGTAGCTGGCCACTGCTTTCCTGGGTGTGAGATGAGATGACCCTCTTCTTATGAATTGAATGAAGTCATTTTAGCCACCTCATCTGAAAGCAGCCCCTGGCTCAGCTTAGCAATGCAGACTGTTTAGCGTTTTCATTGGCCTCACTGCTGATGCCTTATTAAATACAAAGAACATTTCTTTGTTCTATCAGTAAAAATACATTATTAAGACTTCTTGCTGATGGCCAATAATCCATTGATCACTGGCAAATGAACAGACAAATGGTTAGTATCCATCAAGTGACTAGAGAATTGCTTGCTTAGTTTGACCAAGACTCCAAAACCTGAGTGTTATTTTACAGTGATAAAAAAGAAAAGAATGCTATGGTCATTTTTAAAAGAGCAACAACAAATATTTGCTTTTTACTTCTTGCATCATCCAAATTCACTGTAGCACAGTTTCGTCAACAAAAAAGGAACCCAGCCTCAGGCAGCTGGGGAACGCCCAGTCGGTACTGGGTACAAGATTCATTTAGTTGGAGAGGACAAACGTGGTGAGCCACGTGGTTGTTTACCTACGACTGTGTTGGATGACCTCATACGGGAAGGTGGAAAATTACCAATCCTCACTGATATGTGGGTGTAATGTGACTGAGTGTCAGGTCTGTTTTCTGTGGACTGAAATGGAACAACTCTCACTTCTTCTGTTTGGGTTGATAGCTGCGAAAAGTAGTGGTGCTGCTCAGTTACCCCATTTTTTTTCCATGTAGTGACGTATTCTAACAGTCACCCTTCTTCTTTTGTTTGTTTCTGCAGTCATCTGTATGTGAGAAGATCATGGAGCTGCTGGGACAGAACAAAATTGACCACCACCAGCGGCAGGTGGTGATCCTCAGCCAGGACAGCTTCTACAAGGTGCTGACTCCAGAGCAGAAGGCCAAGGCACAAAAAGGCCAGTTCAACTTTGATCATCCAGGTATGAAGACACTGGATAGTTTGTGGTGCAGCTCATGTACTGTATTGATTATATCACCTTAGCGTGTTTGTTTGCTACTTGCGTCACAGATTCAGGAGATGGTTTTGAAATTCTCCATCTGCCTGACTTTGTAAACTGTTGCAGTCATTTTTGAGATAAATAAGAGACTGGTTTAGTACAGATGACAGAAGCATGCAAGTTCAAACATACATACATGCTTTGCTGCCACATTGATAATCTTGGCAAAAGCATAAACTCCTCTTGGAGCCTAACTTTGCTCCAGAGTCAGCAGATCTTTCTCAGAAGCAGCTGTTCTGTGACTCAGTGACTGAACCCAGCACCTGTTACACAAAAGGGCTTCCTGGGTTACCAAACGTGCAGCGTGGGGGTCCCATGTGCTCCCGGGTGCACACTAAGCTGGTATAACTGGGGTTAAGACTGACACACAACTTTGCCTTTTTCTTATGCCCAGATGCCTTTGACAATGAGTTGATCCTGCAAACACTCAGACAGATCCTGCAGGGGAAGACTGTCCAGATTCCAGTTTACAACTTTGTCACTCATTCCAGGTGAGGGCTTATCTCTGTAGCATGTAAAAAGGTTGTGTTCTCCTACAGATGAGATGCTCAGTCTCCAATTACAGGTCATGCTAAATGGGTTCCTGCTCCTGGCATTCATAACTTTAATGTTTATAACTCAGTTGTGTAATTGGTTCAAGTGTAAACTGCCTGAACATAGTCGTCAACAGAAAGGAGGAAACATTTTTGTGTCATTCCAGGGAAGAAGAGTTTGTTACGGTTTATCCGGCTGACGTGGTCCTGTTTGAGGGCATCCTCATATTCTACTCGCAGGAAATAAGAGATCTGTTCCAAATGAAGCTGTTTGTCGACACAGACCCAGACACACGGCTCTCACGCCGAGGTGTGTAGTAAGAGCTTGTAGTTGTTGAGCAGTTAATCTCTAATTGTTTAGAGATTAACCAAAGGCAATACAAGTACTGTTAATAAAAGGCAGAAGTAGATGTGCTGCTGAAGGATTCTATTTTAAAGCTAAGTTCTCCCAAGAAATTACCACATGCTGGCAGTTACAGGTGTGGGCTTTATATTGATGTTGTCCTTATATTTTGTGAAATTACTGTAATTCTAATGTCGATCTTACTTTTTGTGCTTTCTCTGTTTCAGTTCTAAGAGACATCAGTGAGCGTGGGAGAGAGCTGGAGCAAGTGCTGAATCAGTACATTACTTTTGTGAAACCAGCCTTTGAGGAGTTCTGTTTACCTGTAGGTGACACTTGTAACATGCAACACATCTGTTGTCGTGCAGTAGAGTGTGACTGATGCACTGCACTGGCTAATAATATCAGCCAGGATTAGCTTTTCACGGGTGTATGGGTAGCAATGTATGTTGACTGATATTTAACAGTAACTGCAGAAAGGCCAAAGATATCATGGAGTAATTAAGATTTCACAGTCCATTATAATTACATGTAATCAGATGTTTTTGTGCATTTATTGGTCAATATGTAAAATCAGATTTTTTTTCAGACTCCCAAGTATCAGTCTGGCTCCATTGTGCATCTGATGATGGCAAAATGTTGTCTGACAATTTCAATGCATCTTTATTTCCACCAGACAAAGAAGTATGCAGATGTGATTATTCCACGAGGAGCAGATAACCTTGGTAAGTTCAGAGGGATAATACAGAGTAGACATTGTTTGTGCCGGTCAGACTGGAAAACATTTCTCAAGGCCTGTTAAAGGAGAACAGCACTCACCATGACACAGCCACACTCCTCTTGTTTAACAGCAAGGCTAGGTCATCTTTCATTTGAGCTTGTTCATAACAATTGGCTCTTAGCTTAACAAGCTTGCTATGTTAACACAAACTGGTGGTGCGTGACAGACTGAGCAAAGCTTTATGCTCCTTTAAGTGGCTGTTTTGATAGATTACGCTGGACTTTTTAATCGTAGCATTTTTATTGAACATAAAATAAAGAGCTTATGTGAGCAAAACATACTTGGGCTAAAGGTGTGCACTGGATTTATAACACAAAACGTGAGCATCATTGCGAAATGGACTGCAGCATTGTAATCGTTTTATCTCAACTATTGTTTTGCTAATCATTGGAAGCCAAAATCATAATTGAAAATAAAATGTAATTGCTCGCCCAGCTCTACTACTGTGTATGTGACAAGTTGTATAAAGCCTTTTGTGGCTTCAGACTTTAGTTGCAGCTGCAGGGAATGTTGGTTCAGTCTGAAAATTAGGAAAAATTGGGGTGTGTTGAGTTAGAACACGAGCGAACCAGACCTCTTGTAGCCTGCTCCTCATGCCTGCTTGAGGATAGCACCCTGAGGCTCGATTAGTTATTTGATTTAAATTTATATATATATATAT